CAAGTGTTGTATGTGTTGTTAATATTGAATTATATGGTTCAACAACTGCTGTTGAAATTTGTGGTGCAGGATAAACAGCAAATTCAAGTTTGGATTTTTTTCCATATTCAAGTGAAAGTCTTTCCATAAGTAATGAAGTAAAACCACTACCAGTACCACCTGAAAATATCATAATATTTTTTCTCCACTTTTCATGCTCAAAAAAAAAGCAACGATCTGGGATCAGCGATGGAACTGATCTGAGTTTTTTATGATTGTTGCCAGTCTATTGATCAGGCTGAGACCTATACCGATACTGAACTGACGAATTGTCCTACTATTGTCTCTAGATAGTGATATTTTACGTAGTCAACTTTCAACAAAATTTCATTATACATTCTCGATAAGATTATAAGAGCAAAAGAATAAATAAGATAAATTGATACTCGTTACAACTCTGATGGTTTCGGAAGATATTTATTAAACAAGGATATCAAATAGGCAGTTTCGTACATAGCGGACTATTTTTATCAGACACGTGAACATGACTTATTTTCTGTCCACAACAAATTTTTTTCGTAGAAATATTAACTGTTTGTACTCAAAAATAAGTTTGATCAAAAAAGACTATTTGCGATGGCAAATCAATGAAGAAAATTCTTACCTTGAGCTTCTATGAAAAATCTTTTTATTTTGAAAATTAACAAATAGTACATCTGATATACAATTTTGTATGCTGATTTCAAATATATGTGTATTTTTATTTCAAAATGCTTCCGTGATTAAAAAGAATCATGAAAGGCTTGTATCTCAGTCCGAAAGTATTTGTGCATCTTTGCACTGACTGAGTGTGTGTCCCGGATAGAAAAGAGCATTTTCTAAAAGTTTCATCAATATTGGATTAGTGAAAAAAAGTGGCGACAACGCGTTTACTAAAGGCAACTCTTCAGAAAACGCTTAGCATCAGAAGAATAATCATTGTTTTAGGCCGAAACCTTTTGTTATAAACTGATGGACGAACTTTCTAGTTTTAGGTCATAGATGTTTTATTAGCTATTTTTTTAATATTCTACAAAAGAATGATATTTTTCTCTATAGATGCTGAATTCTTAATTTTTTTATACCGAGAAAATGAATAACAAGTTCAGTAGTACCTTGGAAAGTTTTCAAAAAATGATCACTTATTAATAGAATTGTTTTTTGTAATATGCAGTAGCTTTAAAAATTGACCGCATATATTTAATTTCGACCTTTTTCTCGTAATGGTAACTCGCATAAAGAATTCAAATATTGATTTGATAAAAAACGAGACATCCTCTAGTTCTATACTACTTTTTTTGACGTCACTACATTGACGCCAAGAAACGTCTATCCATGTGTTTTTCGTTATCTTCAAAGAGAAAACTACACAAAAAGTACTTTTCGAGTTCTCTCAAAGTTTTATATGTAGTGAAGCACTCGGGGATGTGTCATTTTGTGGAGACAAAAGAAAATCGTTTACTTCCGAGTTTAGGGTGCTGGAAAACTAGATTTGGTATTTTCTAGAGATCCTGAAGTGTTTGAGAATATTGTGAAAGTTTTATTTTGCTGAAGTTCTTGTTTGAAACAATTTTCTTTATTCGAACCACTACTTGGATTCTTTATACAAGTTACTACTATGGAAAAAAAACTAAAATTAAGTCTAGACCATCAATTTTTAAAGCCACTGTAAATAGTAAAAAAAAAAGAGTTTAATTAGGAAAAATCGAGAGTGCAGCTTCATATGCTCGTTAAATAAAAACAAGGTTAGGTTATAATGAAGTTTTTAAACAACAAGTAATGAAAATCATTAAAACCTATTGGCAAAAAATGACGTACTAAATAAAAAATCATGTGGTTGATGAAAATTCACACCACAAGCTATTATCTCAATTTCAATTTTTTTGGACAACAGGTAATTTTTGTAAGGGAATGACTTGAATCAGTGTTTGTTTTTTTCTTGTTCTAAACTTACCTCCAAATGAATGAAATATTAAAAAACCTTGTAAACCATCACCTATAAAAAAAACACAATAATAATTAATTAATAAGTTTACTTATGAAATTTTACATTGATCAGATAATTTTCGAAGACGATCAAGTACAAGATCAATTATTTGTTTTCCAATTGTATAATGACCACGTGCATAATTATTAGCTGCATCTTCTTTATCAGATATTAATTGTTCAGGATGATCTAAAAATATAATTTACTATGATGAATTATTTTATTTTAATCTTACAAAGAGATTTATAAGGACCAGTTCGAATAACATCAATAACAGATTCTTCAAGATCGACAAAAACAGCACGTGGAACATAACGATTACCTGTATGATGAAAAAATGTATCAAATGAATCATTTTTATCATTTTTTCCTTTTTTTATCATTTGTCCATCTGAATCAATACCATGTTCAAGACAATATCTATTTTATTTATTTATTGTTATCAAAAAAAGAAACAACAATAAGAAATATTATTAATGAATATTTCTTACAATTCCCAACAAGCATTTCCAATTTGTACACCAGCTTGACCAACATGAACACTAATGCATTCACGCTAAAATTTTAATCAATTTTTTTATATTTTGAAAATTTATTTTGGTTTTTTTTCAAAATACTGTACCATTTTTGATTAAAACACTAAGTAAACGTTTGTATTTACCCAATATGAAGAGGAAAAAAAAGCGTTAAGCTTCTGTGTTCAATTTGACCTATGTCTCTTGGTCACAGTCCATTGATCATACAAAATCTCTCATCCGTGATATGAAAAAACAGGATAAAACGAACAATCGAAAATATCTCATCAACAAATATGAACATATTTTTCTTTTCATAAAATCTTTTAACATTATTCCTATGGGATTACAATATGAAACGCGATGTAACTACTGTTATTAATCACAACGAGATTGTTTTATTGTATCTATTTTCACATACATTTTTTCTCGCCACTCTTTCACATAATCCTGCAAAAATACAACAAACAAGTAGTTTATATAATAGAATAAGACGTTATTGATATACAGTCTTTCATCATACATGAACAAAGGCTGTCACGATCTGTGATAACCTATTTCTAGCGTCTCTGTGACTTGTGGGATGACTCGTTGCTAAGATATCTGCAAAGGGGGACTTCCCTAAAATGTCTGATTTTTTGTCAATTTTTTACAGCTTCGTACTAAATTTGAACCGAAGCCGGTTTTTGAAACACATTTGCCTTTCTCTCGTAGAAAGAGAGTTAAAAATAAGCCTGATAGCAGGCCATCTATTGTAGGAGAAACTGGATTCAATCGACAATCCTGCTCATACTTGAAGATCTATTAGATGAAATGCTTCTAAGACCAATAGTTTCGATTTTTCAATAACAAAAACTTGCGATGAAAAGAGAACGAATAATAGCAATCTGAAGAAAGAATCTATCATTGAAAGGGATGATTCAGGTAAACTTTTTGATCGTTTTAAAGTAATTTTAACAGTTCGTATTACGTATAAATACTGAACTGAAAATACGATGATAAGAAGAATATTATTATATATATATACAATTTTCATTATTAATATCGAATGATTATGTTTTACTCAAAACTCTAAAGTATATTTCTCTTATCATCTAATTTTCAATATGTATTATGACAACATTAAATGATGCTTCATGAAATCAAATCGAAATTAATTCAACGTAACAATTAAAAAGAAAGACATCACATGTATTTATTCTTTGGTATTTTGTGTAGAGAATTTTATTTAGAACAAGAATTTTTCACGATGAAAATGATTGCTAACTGACCGGGGATAGGATCTCTGAAAAACTACGAAATTGAGGTATTTACTTCCTAGGATTGGCAGTCACGATTCTATTTGAGTTGACTAGGACGACAGAACAAATACCGGTCTACGAAATGAAAATGCCTTCCAGCTCTCTAAGACGTTTTTTCGATCAAGATGCATCAATATTACAAAACACACAAAAATGATGTTTCCAAACAAATTAATGGACAGAAAGCGACTTTATTGCCTTTCGTAAAGTTGATGTACCTTGGCAAAAACAAATATCGCAAAGAACTGTAACGTGTTGTAATTTGTCGAGAGTTATTTGTTTCGTAATTCTGTGTAAGTCAAACCGTATTGTAATCATCAATTCTAGGAGTTGAATAAATTTGTTTTGCGGATTTTTGAGAAACCATATTCTTAAAAATTAGCAATCATTTTCATCTTCACTATTTGTATTCTTCTTACAAGAAAACCATTTTTGGATCGAGACTATCTCAAATGATAAACTGCGGGAAGTAGTGTCAAAGCCTAAGTTAGTTCGGTTGTTTGAAACCTTATCTCTTGACATATCGATTTTTTCCTGAATGTTTTACGTGAAGTCTGTTATTCTTTTCAGGTCAGCACGAACATCGAATTGTGAGTTTTGACTTAAAAATTTTGCAATAACCTAATATCATTAGGAGAACTTTGATGCAAAGTTTCAAGTGAAAACTTACAATTCGATCTCCATAGTAACCTGGAAACGACAACAGGTTTCATTTAAAAAATTTCAGTACAGATTCAATATCTAAAAAACGAAGATTTACACAACTGAACCATCTTAGGTTTTAACTCTACTTACTATTTGAGTACAATCTCGATTCAAAAAGCGATCAGATTTCTTGTAGGCATTCCCTCATTAGCGAAGAAAATCCTGTCGAATAATTTTGACAAAGACTATATATATAGTCGTCGCTGAAGTGAAATTACAAACTATATTCGTATATTGGTTCTTTATTAACTTAAAGAAAAAAAAAATCTAATAAACATTATCTCCTCATTTCAATAAAATGATATGCTAAGTTAGTTTAACAAATAATATACACAAAGTCGTATATGATGAAATTATGTTTATACTATTTTCTTGAACATCCATCAACATACATAAATAAGAAAGAGACAAAAAGAAAAGAACAAATAAGAAGATATATATATATATATGAGACAGAAGATAAATGAAAAAATTTTAGTCAGCACATAATGGTTCGGTTTGATAATTAGATAAATTTGGAGAATTACATAATGGTCGAAGTATAACTGTTGTTGATGCTGGTAATTCTTCTGGAATAGGTGTTGTATCCATTGAATCATCTTGACTAGTATTTGCAATAGCTTTTCTAATACGTGTAGCGGTAGGTTTACTATCTTCTTTTTTAACAAGAATTGTTTCAACTAAATCAACATAAGACATTAATTCATTTGCTTCATCAGCTTCGAAACCCTTTGTAAAAAAAATAAAAACAAAATAAAAACGAAAAATTTAATTTTTTTTAAAACAAACTTTTTCAATAGTTTGTTCAATAAGTTTTGTTAATAAATATCGAAGTTCATCAATATCTGTAACACAATCAACAATTAATTGTGGATCTGGTCCTTGTATTAATTCATGTGTTTGTTCTTCATCATCATAAACCATTAGTACTTGTTGACATGATGAAATTTCAGAATTAAGATATGCTATTGTACTTTCTAATTTTGTTATTGATTCACGTAATGGTTTACATGTTGGATCTTCAGATTGTTGTGTATTAGTTGTACTATTAACAATAGCATTACTTAATCGTTTACAATACCGTTCACGTTTACGACTCACACATTCACGATTTTCAATTAATGTACTCATATCACGATTAATACCAGCAATAAGTTTTCGACGACGAATTGCATTTGTAATCTATAAATATTTCACATGAAATAAGACCAAAAAAAAGAATAGAAAAGATTCTATTGAACATACGCCTTGTTGAATAGCAGTATAATGTGCACTCATCTCTTTTGTTGTTGCACGCACTTTACCTGAACGCATTTGACGTCGTAATAAATGTACCTGAAAAATAAGATTTTGTCAAAAAAAAAAAAACAAGTTTTCAAATGCATACGGTAGAATCTTTCACGACTATCACAGATATTCTCAATAACGTCTCTTTCTAATCACAGACCGTGACGAAAGTTTATATGAGTTACTTTCTTATCGCATTTCTAAAGAATTAAGTATGAAGAAATGTATTCCAAAATAAATAGTATAAAATAATCTCTCTTTGATTAGCAACAAAAGATGCATTTTAATTCCGCAAGTATTGTGCTAACAGCTTTTATTTGTAAATTTATTTTAAAAATCAATTATATTTTAAGTTATGATGAAACATGAAGATTTACTGTTCAATGATCTATCATCTTTATAGAAAAAGTTTGACTTGCATGTCTTTTATCAGAACTAGATCGAAGTGGATCACGCAACACATTCTATAGATAGAGTGTGTCTCAAGCGATAGGCTTGGAAAACAGTATCACTGTCTTATACAAGACGAGACTATTTTATTTCTTTAGTGAAAGGATTAGAAAAATTTTTCCATGTGCCTTCGATTATGTCCGTCCACTTACAATTTAGATGAATCGGTTTGTTATACGTCTCATCAAAAGATAAATTCAAACTATTCCTTCATATTTGTTCAATAAAAATAAATATGCATAACGAATATTATATATCGAATTCATAAATAACAATAATCTTGTTTTCATTGAATACAAAAAAAAATTAATTTTCATGTTTATGAAAATTCCATAAAACATAACTTCGAAAGAGTTAATTCTAAGCAAAAACTCACCTCAATGTTTTTCAACATTCGTGATTTCTTTGAAAGATCCTTAGAAAACTTTTTCTTTCTAGAATTTAGTCGATTTCTCTTTACTGATCATTTCAATCTAGAAATTTCATTAAATGTGACGTTAAAATAACAGTACTCAAAAGCCATAACATTAGAAAACAATGTCGATTGACGCTAGAATTAGATTTAAGAAAAATTTTAATAGCTCTATAAAAATAGCAAAGAAGTTTAATTCTATTGAATGTACTAGATCTACATTCACACTAGACCCCGTCGGGTAGGACCCGGACCCGGACCCGCACGGGTCCGGGTCCGGATCCGGGTCCAAAAATTTTACTTTGGCCGGGTCCGGGTTCGGGTCCGGATCCAAAAATTTTATTTTGACCGGGTCCGGGTCCGGGTCTGAAAATTTTGCTTTAACCGGGTCCAGGTCTGAAGAAAACTTTGATCCATACAATTTATTTTGAATTTTTTTAAAGTTTTGTTCGTTTTATACAAAGAAGAGATCAAATGTATTTAGAAAATAGATAAAAAACAACAAAACCCTTCTTGACTATACTATCTAAACTGACTTGTCATTGTGTTTGGATCCAAAAAATTTAAGCGACCGGGTCCGGGTCCGGGTCCAGCAACCTGTAAACGGGTCCGGGTCCGGATCCGGGTAGAAAAATTTTAAATGATCGGGTCCGGGTCCGGGTCCAAAAATTCTGGACCCGACGGGCTCTAATTCACACGCTCCGAATTTTTTTAATATTGTGCTCCGCTTAAGAGTGATACATACTAGATTAGATAGTCTGAATTGTGAACACCTGATTTTTATATCAATAAAACTATCAGTATATTTTACCTCTTGTTGTTTACGTTTAAGAATCATTTCTTTTTGTTTATGTTGAGCACGTAATGTTCGAATTTCATTATCTTTTTGCATTTGTGTCTATAAAATAAAAATAAACATACAGAATTTTCTTTTTTTTGTATATGAAATATATACTCGTTTAAGTGTAGCAATTTCTCTTGCTTTTGCTTGTTCAGCTTGTTTATGTCGTGTAAATTCTTGACGTAATTCACGTGTTAATTGAACTTTTATTTTACGTAAATCTTTTAATTCATTTGTATGTTTAGATAATTCTTTTCTATAATATTCACCATCTTTTAAACAAATAGCATATTGTGCACGTAATGTTGATAATTCATTATTTTCAATTTCTAATCGACGAATTTTTTCTTCATAATCACGTCTAGCTAATTTTAATTCTTCAATATTTTGTTGATCACGTCCAATGGTATCTAAATTTTGTTTTTTTTTTTTTTTTTTTTTGAAGAAACAAAAAATATTTACAAAATTATTAATAAATAAACATACTTAATTTTGTTACAGCAACTTGTTTTTCATCTTCAGCATTATGTATACGTTCAGAAAGTAATTTTATACGTTCTTCATATCGTTGTCGTGTAAGTTCACTACGTTTACGTGCATTTTCAAGCATTTCAAGACATTTTTGTTTTGCATTTATTTCTGTTGTTATTATTAATAGTTTTTCTTCTTGTACATCAGCTTAACAAAAAAAAGAATGTTAGTAAATCTCTTGAAAATTAAAATGTAAAATATGTATTGTTTATCATAAAGAGATTGCTTTATTCTATTGATTCTAGGACATATATTATTAAAGCATCGATTACAGTTCGTAACGATCTCTGTCGTGGTTGTTTGAAAGGATAATACTTACATTCACTTTGAGCATCATCATCAATAGCTGTTTGTACTTGTTCATCATCATCTTCACTATTAATAATATGTTCTTGTTCTTCAATAATTGGCATATTTGAACGACTATCAATTGTTTCTGTTGATGGATTTGTTGATAGAGAATAAAGAGCTTCAATTTTACGTTTTTTAGGAATTTCATGTAGTTCTTGAGGTGAACCTGGAATTGTACTAAAATCAATACGATTTGATTTAGCTGAACCACTAAAAAAATAATTTATTAATAATAATGAAATTATTTTATTTTCAAAACAAACTTTTCACGAAGTAATTGTTCTTCACGTCGAAGACGATCAATTTCATGACGAATATCTTCAATACATGGTTGTAATTCATCTGAACCTATTGAATTTTGATTAAATTCATTTGATAATGTTTGATCAATTGAAACGGATCCTAAATTAATTAAATCGATATTCAAAATAATAAATTATTTTCGTATAACTTTGAAAACGATTTGCGACATATTGAAGGAAAAAAGAAACAATAAACTCCTTGCTTTTTTTTAATTGTTACTTATAAATGTTAAATACGCAATATGAGATTTTAATTCTTTCGAATATAATTCAAATTAATTATGATTTCGTAAAGTTTTTCTTTTGTTATTATGTTATTCTATCAAATTTTATTTCTTTATTCGAAAGTATACAAAATTTAGGAAAGATAGAAGTGTCTCTGTTCGGTGAATAAGAGTAGCAAGTTTGATATATATGAAACTCGTGAAAATATTCAGAGGACATTCCATTCTTTAGAATATATAATGAAAATTTAATCGGTTGGAAATTCAATTCTCAGTAATGACTGATCTACTCATTATAAAGTTTTATATTCTTCAATTCTTTTATTAAATCTTAAATGTCATTTTCGAATACATAAAATTTCTCTATTAGATTATTAGAATTACTCTTTTATTTTTTTTTTTAATCTTTACTTACTTGTTGATAAACGACTTTTTCGACGATTTGATATTGGACTACGTTTACGAAGTATACTACTAATATCATTCATACGTGATAATCGAGATCTAATAATTTATAAATCTTATTAAATCAAATTAAAACAAATTTCATATTATCTTACTGAATTTCATCACTTTTTAATAAACATTGATTTAATGCTTGATTATAATCAAATGTTGTATCATTTATTTGTTGATGATCACGAACAGTTTCTAGTTCATTTTTTAATGTTTGTGATACTATATTTGTTTCATTTATTGAACGTTGTATTGTATATATATATGAACGTATACGTTCAAGTTCTTGATTTAATGCACTATTACTCGTTTGATCGAATTCACTCTGAAAAATTGTATTTATTGGAGAGAGAGAGGCGCATAAAGATTATTATTAGATCATCTTCAGTTTCCTTTCGTGTCGAATTTTATTTGAAATCTCATTAGTAACAAAATAAAGTGATTTCTGAAGGATGCAGATCTAGTTTTTCTTTTCCGATGGATATAGTTTTCAATTAGAAATGTCTTTGTATGGGAATGCTTTTAAAGTCACTATGAATCATGTATTTAATCATACAAACATGACTACGAATAATTTTTGAGCAAAATTGTATCTAGATCTTTATTTATTTATCAAAAGATTTTGCATAAAATTTTACTTATGAATAAAATGAAACTGAAAATGAATCAGATTAGATCATTATGTATTTTTATTCTTTTTCTTACTGATGATAAATGTTCATTTTTATCAACTAATGCACGTAATCGTTCGATTTCCATTTGTAATTGTATGATTTGTCGACTATGTTTATCTTGATTTACTTTAACACGATTACGAATATTACGTGCACGTTGAGCATAATTAAGTGTACTTTTTGTTTCAGAAAAATCACGATCAACTGGTGATATACAAGCTATCATTAATGTTCGACTAAAAAAAAAAGACAAAAGTTTGTTTTTTTTTTGTAAATAATCAATATTTTAAATTTACCTATTGCCACCTAATGAATCTTGTAATAAACGAGTTAATTTTGAATCACGATATGGTACATGTGCTCCTTTTTTCATTGGATCACCTAAGATTGATATCACATTACCGAGAACAAGCTAATAATAAATAAATAATTAAAAGAAAACAAAATATTTATCTTAATATACCAAACCACTATTAATACTAATTCCTTCTTTAGCACGTTGACCTGTTGCACCTGTTCGTTTTAAACTTTCTGATCCAGCTAAATCAACAAAATGAATTTTAGCACGAATTTGTTCACGTATATTTGTATCTGATGTCTAAATATATAAATTAAAGAAATAAATATTAGAAAAAATTTTTATTTTCATTTATTTTAATTATATATACTGATGAAACAACACGTTCAAATTGTAAATTTACAGTAAATATGGCATGTGATCGACTTGATACACTGTTCATACGTGTTGATGCTGTTGTTCGACAAAGAGCACCTTCTCTTAAACAATCAAGTGTCTAGAAAATAGAAATATTAGATAAAACATTTATTCTTTATATAGAAATTAAAGGTGTGATAAACTTCAATTTTTTTGATAATGAAGTCTAGTGATTAGTTCTTCTCATATGAGTTGAATAATTGAATATCTAACATTCTCGTAGCTCTAAGTTTCCGATAGCTCAATTCTAGCATATTTGTGTAGTTCGCTATAGAGTATTGCTTGGACACAACTTTTTTGTACCCGTGCATTACTATAAGACATCAACATTTAAAACACATTTTTAAAATTTTATATGAATTGCACTATTAGCAATGATGTTTATACTTCTATAAAACGTTAATTTTCAAAGTCGTACTCTACTCAACTACATGGCCTGGAAGAGATAAAAACAGATGTACAGTGGTTTCAAAGCAGAAAACAGGAGAAAGACTACTTTCGCTTTTCAGTACGAAATGGTGCTTGACAAGAGACTCATTGTTCTGATATCTTTTTTACAACTGTAGCTCTAGAGGATATAGGTCTGTTGATTATCGCCTAATCCACATTCTCCAGTGTGAAGAGCAGTGCTTCGCTAAAAAATTGATTGGCTTTTCTTTGGAGTTTATAGCTATTGAGTCATATACTGTGTATCTGTGCTTCATAAAATAGGTGTTCGCTTCTCAGAAAAAAATTTAAATTCATCCAATTTAGTGTGAGTGATGGTAATCATTATATGGATTACTAACACTATTAGTTACTGGTATTCTTTTTATAAAATTAAAATAACAAACCTCGTGTGCCGTAGTAACAAATCTTGTTGTAATATTTGTCACTGCTATTTCTCCATTACTATTTTCAAATACGACATGTTTATCAATATTTTTTTGTGAACGAAAATCAATATTTTCTTTATTAAATAAATCATAAATATTTTCATTATAAATCTATTTTATGAAAACAAAAAAAAAACATAAATAATAAAAAGCAAAAAAAAATGTCGATAAATTCTATTGATATTTACTTCAATAAATTGACATGAAACTACACATTTTGCAAGTGCAATACCTTTTAATTCTGCTTCACGTTCATAATTTGCACATCTTTGAAATATATGCATAATGGCACGAGGTAAAATTCCTTCTTTCGAAGGATCCATATATTCAATTCCACTACCCATAGTAAAAGTTTTTCTATATAAATAATAAAATAAAATCTTTCGAAAAAATTTTTCTTCTTTATATAATTAAATACCCAGAACCAGTTTGACCATAGGCAAGTATAGATGCACTATAACCTTGAAAACATCCTTCTATCATATCATAAATACATTCACGATAGAGATCTTCTTGACTGATTTCCGATAAAAAAACATGATCAAATGTAAAAGCTGTACTATTAGCTAAAATAATCTCATTTGTTGTTCGTTGTACATCAACACATGTTTGACATAGATCTTGTTGTTCATTATTTGATAATGGACGAACACTGAGAGAAAATTTTATCTTCGTTTATCTTTATATATATATGTATTAGATTTTCTTACCGAACAGCAGCTTTAACACAACTGGCAATTTCTTTATTAGAATTTGCCAATTCCATCTTATCGAATACTGGAATACAACATGGGCAAAGACGTAGCAAACAAAAAAAAATGATTTCAAGAGACAAAGAACTTAATTAGGACAAAGAATCTTGCTCGCGCTAGTTAATATCACATGCATTAGTTTACAGTTGAATATATTTTATTCAAGAGAATTTTTGCATTATTAATAAAAACTACTAAAAGATTCTTTTCTTTTTTTTTTTATAAAGTACTTAATTTTGAATTTATAATAGATGTCACTATTAATATATAGCATTTTATTTTAATATTTTATTTGAACAAAGTTTATTTTACTTATTTTACTATTAAAAAACGTTTAATTTAATGAATAAAAAATTTTTTTTTGTAGTAATATAATTTGATAGGTCAATCTATATTACCAATTAATTGATCAATGAGAACAAAAAAAAATGACGCGAGGAGGAACAGAATTAGTTAGTCTTTTTTTTTCTTTCCTTTGATTACATTTTTGTTGAGAAATAGTAGCACAACAGTGCAATTTACATGATCATATCTTATAGATAGAATAATTCACTATAATAAAAAAAACAATATTTTCTATAGACATCTATCATGGACAGTGACCAAGAGTCATCTGAAGTAAAACAAACAAAATTGTCTTATATTTATTTGTATTAAACATTTGTCGTCGCCTTTTTTTTTTTTATTATTATTCTAGTGTCCATTATGTTTGGAAGTTCTCGAAGCTGATGATTTAACCTTTTTTCCATGTACATGTTGTTATCAGGTAGAAACAATTTTATCGAAAAAACAAAAATATTTAATGAATAAGTTCGAATGTTTTAGATTTGTCGATTTTGTTGGCATCGTATACGAACAGATGAAAATGGTTTATGTCCAGCATGTCGAAAAGTAAGATAAACTATTATGAGTCATATTTCAGAAAGAACGAGAAAAAAAAATGAATGATTAGATAATCCAAAAAAACAGAACGGAACAAACTTTGAATAATGATGAACAAAAATAAAATAAAATTTTTATGTATTTAACGAACGAATTGTTTTTATATCGAATTTTCTTATATACTGTGATTTATTGAAATATATTCAAAACTCTAATTGGATTATCGCATATATTAAGACATCAATCTTTTCCGATGATATGTTGTTTAATAACGACATGTATCAATACAATGAGTTTCGTTATTCAGTCATGATCAAAAGGGCATAGTTCAATGGTGAGTTGATTGAATGAATTGAACGTGTAATTATTATTTGGTGTTTTTGTCACGATGTGGTCATCGATAATTTCAATTCTATAAAAATAATCTTTGATTTCTGTTTGTAAATATTTCTTTATAAAAATTGAAACAAATATTTCGTAAAACAAAAGTATCTCTAACTGTGAGAAAAAATTTGAATTTTATTCAATCGAAATATAAAAAGTTTATTTCGTAGTTGTTATGTTTGTGATCAATAGATTGTTATGGTTTTATTAGTTTAGACAAAAAAAAAAAAACAAAATTTTCTTTGTATTTGGTTTTTTTCTCCTAGAAAAATGAAGCTGTACATAAATATTTTATGCAAAAAAAGAAAAATCTTATAAATTATTTATTTTTCTGTCTCTTTTTTTAGCCATACAGTGAAAATCCGGCACAATTTAAACCATTAACTGAAGAAGAGTAAATTTCAATTTTTTTGTTTTTTTTTTTTTTTTGAATTTTTTAAGATTATTATTCTAGAATTCAACAAGTAAAACGTGATAGAAAATTAAAAGAATCAAATAAAAAACCAAAGATAACCGAAAGTCGAAAACATTTAGCTAATCTTCGGTATTAAAAAGATTCTTTGTATTTTTTTTTTTTTTACTGAAAATTATTTTTGTTTTTGTTATCCTCTAGAGTTGTTCAACGTAATCTTGTATTTGTTAATGGTCTTCCATCGCGTTTAGCTGATACTGAATTATTAAGACGCAATGATCATTTTGGTAAATATGGTAAAATAGTTAAATTAGTTACATCACCAGCACACAATGGACAATTAAATTCTATATGTGTATATATAACATATTCACGTTCAGACGAAGCTTTACGAGCTATACAATCTCTTTGTAATTATCATGTTGATGGTCGAACATTAAAAGCAACATTAGGTACAACAAAATATTGTAGTCGATATTTAAAAGGTGCAACATGTCAAAAAGCTGATTGCCTTTATTTACATGAATTAGGCGATCCATTAGCAAGTTTTACGAAAGAACAAATGCAACAAGGGTAAATAAAATTATGATAAAATTTAATATCTAAAAGGCTGTTAATAAAATTCCTGTGGGATTCAAATGTAACATACGATATAACTGCTAATCACAGGGAGATTACTTTATTCTATCTATCGTGGGACATATTTCTTCATCATATATATTTACTTAATTTTCCAGAAATGCAAAAATGAAAGTAAGGTAGTGAAAAAAACGTTTAACCACGTTACATATAATTTTAAGTATTTAGCTTCAATATCAATAGCGATCTTAAATAACTCATAGAACTATGATGGCATGATTTTATGTCTCAGAAGATTATTTTTTGACGACACTGTTTTAAAGAAAACAAAATGAGGATTCGTCGCATTTCATAGGACCTTAAGTTACAAGTAGTACAGAAACTGAAAAAAGGCTACGGTTTTTGTTGTAGTTTTAATTTTTTAAGAAAAAATCATAGAAAATACGACGAACCTTAATTTTGTAGTCTTTGATATGATATTATTTAATAATAACTTCGACAAAGTCAGCTGGATCGTGAATACTACTGTACCGGGTTATTTATATTTTTTTTAGGAACGGAAGGGACTAATAAGTCGATAGAAAGCCACTGAAGCCTGCTCCAATCCTATTCACTTTACAATAGCATTGGTTTTTTTTTGTTTTTATTTTACTTTCTGCCAGAGAAAGACAAATGATCTTTCGAAATCCGGTTGCTGTTCAAAGTTACCATGAAAACTTTAAAAAAAGATTAATAAAGAGTATTAAGAAGTCTCATTCTTCTAATTGAGAATTCTGGATTGGCATCTATCACGACTAGGTGAGAGTCCAAATTTTCAGCCCTATTCTTCAACAATGTTGTTAAATTGTGTTTTACAAAAGATCAATCTTTGTTATATTGTTTAGTCTTCATCTTGAATATGAACGAAAACTGATGGAACAGTATACGAATAAAACAATATCAGATACACCAAAAACTGGACGAACAACAGTTAATGGGTAAATTTTTTTGTTTCTTTTTTTTTTTTTTTTGTTAGAAATAGTTTTTTTTTTTTGGTTGATATAGAAACAAAAGTGAATCATCACAAAAACGAAAAGGACCAACACCATTATTAACAACAACGAATGATTCAAATACAACAATACAAACGTCAAATATACTCAATGGACATTCAGATTTAGAATCTGGTGATGAAACAAATAATAATAATAATATTACTACTACGTCAAATCATCATACATTGAATGGATATCATAATGATACATTTACTAGGTAAATACTGAAAATATAGTGTGATGAATATGATTGAAATTCTCCGAAAAAAGAAAACAATGTAGTAGCGATTAAAATTAAATTAGATTATTTCTAACTTGGACGGAAATATTGGAAAAAATAAAACAAAAAGCACTTGCATCTTCAGAGACTTTCAACTATAACAATTTACAATAAACAAATCTATTGGATCAACACAAGACAACAAAAATAAAAAGAAAACTGTAATGAAGTTCCAAATGTAATCGATAAATAAATATATTCGAAAATAGTTATTAGAATATTTCTTCTATTTTTGTTAAAATAATAAATATTCTTTTGATATTAAACTTAAAATAAGGAATCTTGTTTTTTTTTTCTCTCACTAGTACAACTGCTATGAATGGTGATACTCTAAATGGTGATTCTGATATATCATCAACATCATCTCAAACATCATCTGAACATGATCCATCTCTACGAACACAAATTCCAACATATAATATATCACCATCAACTAATTGGCCAGATGAATCCGTAAATTTTTATCCTAAAAATAATATTAATAATAATAATAATCTCGTATCATCATCTCAATTAATAAATAAATCATCTGTAACAAATATATTAAATCCATCAAAAGATATTCAAACAAATGAAACAACAATGAATAATACAGTGAAAGTTTTTGATCAATTACCAGAATATAAATTATTTAGTTCAAATAGTCCATCTATACATTCAATTTTATTTGGTAAAAATGAAAATACTCAACAATTACAACGACCATTAATTAATGGTATTGATCATGATTTAAGAGATATTGAAAAGAGATTAATAGGTAAAATAAAATATTTTAGAAACTTACAAAAACATTAATCATGAAGATATTTGAAGTGATTATAAAAAAATTTTTAAGAAACTTTCTCTCTCTATAATTTAATATTAAAAAAAAATGCACTACATCTTTTCTGATAATTGTTTATTATGATATACGATGGGAATAAGAGCGTAGGTGTTGACGTTCTCCTAATCTACATCTAACAGTCATGCCTTAGACTAATTTTCATTAAAATCTCTTCGAGATATGAAAATTTCAAGCTATACATCCTTTTCAATGGATAGTAATATGTATTTTTTGGAAGCTTCATATGCTGAAGGATTACTTTTGAGTTTTTTAATCGGTGTTAGTCTAATCCAGTTTTCTCTATACACAAACTTCAGAACTACGAGCTTTCCAAAAACCTGACGCCTTGCGTATTAAGAATTCGACAGCTTAGTCAAATCTTTTTAAGGTTTTTGCTAGAATGCTGTGTAGTATTCATAAGCAAAAAAAAAACCCATTGAAATCAAAAGGGATATCTAAATAATTTCTTTCACTATTGTAGTTAGTGCTGACTGACTACACAAGACTATACTTCAGTGAACACTGCTTTGATGACTCACTGTCAGTATTCACGCCAACATTATATATATCTAATTGATTGTGAATAACTAGAACGATTATTTTGAACATTAAATAAAATA